TGTAAGACTGATATCAGAAGCTACGCGAGACGACGTGAAATAGCAAACATCATGGCTCAGATATAAAAACATCCCCAGAGGGATTTAAACCTTTTAGCTGCACTCAACACATTTTTTTTTCCCTGATGAAAAAGTATCTCTATCCTTATGACACAGACTTTCTGAACTGTGTATTAAGACAGACTGTTGCTGGTTTAGACTGATTTTTCTTGCCAGCATTGGACTGACTTCACAATACTAAATTCTTTCCATATCCCATCATAAAGGAAGGAAATGTTGTACTAAAATGATAATGGATAGTTCCACTAAAAGACAAGGCAAATTCAAATGCACAGATAACTGAAAGCGGTGAAGAAAATTACTTCTATTTCTGAAAAACATATATTCTTATGATAATCCTGGGAATTCTGTGAAGCTTGTTACTTAATCCTGACAGAAATATAAACTATTTAGAAAGAGTTTTTGCTATCACACTGCACTACGACAAATGCGAGAAAATGGAACTCAGCGTGAATAAAGTGCAAAATATTGGTCCTTTGGAAACATAATATTTATTCCTCCTTCAGCAGTCAGCTGGTGTAGATCAACACATTACAGCTGCTTTCAGGGGATTCTGAATCAACCTGCCCTTACTCGTTGTAGTCTATTGCTTGCTGGTTTGCAATGAAAAAAATATAGTCGGGTGGGTTTGGGAATTGCAGAACTGGCTGTGCCCTGCCAAAAGGAGCCTGGAAGCACAAGAATCCTGCATCTGCCTTTCCAGGATACATTTTCAAAACATGGACGGGAGGAGGAGCTATTAGATCTATCTGATCAAAAGCATTTTGACCTTTTTCTAACTAAGGCTCATATGCCAGATATGATAAGCTGGGGAGTCTTTACACAGGGGCTGTTCACTAGGCTGTCCCCAGGAAATAATCAAGAGGGCTGGTTGCCCAACACACAACCCTGAGTTATAACAACTCTCATACAGAGCAATGAATTAGGAGAAAGGTATTAAAATCTTCTATTTTCTTATAATTGAAGCAGATGTCTTCCTGTAACTCACAAGAGGAATCTAAAATATATTATAACACATTACGGCTCTGTAACCCAGACACCGTGTTCTGTGGAAGATGGTTTTCATTTGACTTACCAGAATAACTATTCCATTACGCAGCGGCCCCATGGTCTGCACAGTTTCTCTATCATCGTCGTTCCGATATTCCCACTCCACACCCATGTCAATAAATACTTTAGAGTCTGGCACATAATTGTCTTCGCTTAGAATGAATCTCCCTGTTTCACGATTTTTAATTGCTAGGAACAAGAAAAGAAAAGTGAATACGGTAGGTTCGCTTCTCATCTCGAGTTTTGTTCTGCTCTTGTGCCAGCAGAAGCAGCAGCAAAGGCCAGTCTGCATTTTCCCTCTGTTCTCTCACAGGTTTAGAAAGACTTTTTCAGGTGTTTCACTGAACTGCCAACGCTTTCCTGGTCAGCTCCAGACACATCAATCATTCTTTTTTTTTTCCTTTTTCAAAGCCTGCCTTGCCAGAGCAATGAGGCCAGCGCGACTGCACCGCGTGTGTCCGTCTGCCTGCTCCCGACTAACAACCTCCGAACCCACTGGCCAAATCCGAGACAATCTGACAGCCGGCGGGGGTCCCACGACCACTCAGCTCTGTCACATGCTGTAAGGCAGCTCAGGGGCTGGTACTGCTCCATGAGAGAACAGCTACTGGGCTAACCCCCAGCAGGTCCCCACAGTGAGAGACAGACACTAGAAACTGTTAATTCTCTGTCTCAGGTCCAGCCCTGACACCCACACAGCCCGGCTGGAGTTCCTGGTGCTCTGCAGCACCTGCCATCACACGCGGTGGCTGGTTCCTCTGGCTCAGATGTCACCAGCACCTGTTCTTCAGCTGGAGAGACTTCAGCCACCTTTCTATTGGGACTCTTGGTCTTCTGAGATGGAAAATTTGCTCTCCACTTTAGAAGAAGTAGGGATGTTTGTTATTTAACACTGGATTTTAACTCCCTTCTCTCTCCAGCTGCTACATGAGCATCCTGCTCCCACAGCACTGTTCCTGTCCCCAGGAGGGGTGTCCTCACCCCAGACCAACAGAAGACCCTTGTCAGAACTGGTGAGCGATGGCTCTGCTGACCCACGGGCCAGGCTGCACCGAGCGTTGGCTGGTGAGAAGCTGGGATGACTCGTGATACAATTAGCAGGGCCATTCGCCGTGAATCTCCTTCCAATTAATAACAGCCTACTAGACCCTGCTTCGCATTGATTACAGGGCACAGCGAGGAGCAGATTTCAATTACTGCCTAAGCTGCGGGATTGATTGGGCAGCCCCGCATCAATACCGTTAGCAACGGGGCAGAATCTGAAACGGATTCGGATGTAGCTGGGAAATGACTGAGGATGGGAAGCACGTTCTGAGAGATGCACACGAAGATAATGCATTGCACCCCATAATGTCATTCAGCTACTCTTCCAGCAGCTTTCACACCAGCACATGCCAACGCACGGATCTTCTGGTAGGACACCAGGGAACACAGCGCAGGGAAATCAAATGGCCAAACAAATTTAACATACTTAAAGGAGGTACATGACGTGGGAGGATAATTGGTAAACAAATGCATAAACATTGTGAGGCCCCAGAGTCAAAAATAAACAGCAGAAAAAATATTCAGACTGAAAATTTTCCTACTTGTTACTCACCGAGATTATGACTGGTGGCGTCTGTTTCCTGTATAAGTAAATGTCTCGCACCAACAGGAATTTCAAACATCTTAATGTGCCCTTTATTGCAGCATTTGAAAAGATAGCAACTGGTTAGTATGCCACAAACAGGAAGAGTCTGTCTTAGGTTTTTAAATAAATCTTATTTTCCAAAAGCAGGGTGTACTACAGCGAGCTGAACCTAATCCTGCATTATTCCCACCCCTACTTCTGTGCCAGGTGATGGAACATAACAGGGACAAAGGGCTTTGTGTCAGAAGAAGAATGCCTTAAGTACCATCAACAGGCTTTGTTTCAGACTGAAAAGGGCTTTTAGTGCCATATGCATCCAGAGAGAGACCATGCAAGCTCCTGTCTGACAGTGATTGATGACGACATATTATTGCAGCACTCCAGTGACTTGGACGGAGCAGCTGAGCGACCTCAGCAGCACAGATCAGCCCACAGCTCTCCAACACGGAGCACTGAAGCCCTGCTCTACACATGCACAGGACCTGGTATGAGCAGACTTAACTAACCACTGGACTAAAGTCTTATTTTAAAATTCTAGACACACCTCAAAGTAAAGTCCAGAGAGTTTACTGGAATTAGTGATGCTGTAAATGACTTGTGGTTGCTTTGGTACTTTCCATGAAACAGAAAAGATCAATAAAAATACCCCAAATTCCCCAGGACAAAGCACACTGAATGCACTGACCTTGTTTCTTTGGTACTCTTGAAAAAGTTCCTTTCACCACTTTGCAGTGGGAATTATCTCCTCCACAAACACCACACTTATCTTCCTGCTTCGTGGAACCGATGACCCTGTCGCACCCAACTTTCTGTGCACAAGAGAGAAAACCACTCATTCTTACTTATCCACGCTTCAACTCAAATGAGCCTTCACTTCAGATAGCAAAACCCAGACTTCTGCTTCAGCAAAAAACTCCAAATCGTAGTATTTTCCTGGAAGATTAACATCTAAACAGATTTTAATACTTCCAGTTCCTATAATAGCTGTCAATCAGGTGATTATATTTTTATATTATGCTCCACAGTGGTCCTTTTACTGAAGAAAAGCAGCGCAGTTAAGGAAAAGCTCTTAAGCCTCAGCTTATCTTAAAGCAGATGCTTAAATTCCAGGAGAATCAAAGCATCTGTGTGAGGATAAGCACCTCCACCAGTGATTTGCTAAGTCAGAGCCTCTAATTCTGTTGAAAGATGACCTGCAGCAGAACCCAACTTAGAGGAACTGTCATTGATTTTTTAAAAATAGCACGATCAAATCCAGAGAGAATGGACATCAGCTCTTTCACCACTTTCCTTGAAAGCTGCTGCATGTTCTTATTTCATTGTATGTTCCACCCCCACTAAACCTCAACTTTCATTGAAAGCTAATTGTAATAGTTCATCTTAAAATACTGCATTCAGTATGACTTGTGTAGGTAGGTGCTGTTGGAACTGAGTCACATGCAATGTGATGGCAGCTGTGAATATCACACATAATATTGTGACAATAATCCTAATGAAATCTCCTCCCTGCCCAGAGCATTATTATACTTAAATAGTCATTCTTGGAGAGAAACACTCAAGCTACCATTTGAATTGTTGTCACAATCCTAAGCTCTGAACCAAGCCATCGGAAGCTTACCAAGCAGTCTCCCCGCACGCAGATGCTGTAAGCGTCTTTGTAGGAGCAGCGGGTCCCATCGTGTACCATCCTCTTCATATACACCACATCCCCCGTCTCCTTTGATTCGCAGTACAGGTGGCACCTTTCCTTAGCTGGAAAAGAAAATCACCCAAATTGTGCATGTTCAGCTCTCACAGTTTAGTTGCTGACTTTGTGAACAGCACTTTCAGTAGTGTTAGCAATCTCTTCTTCCCTGCATACATCACAGAGCACAATCTGGTACCCCATAAATCATCCGTGCCTATCCCCTTTCAAAGGCCGTGTGATGATTTGGGAACTGCTGAATCATAAAACACCCATGTGTCACCGTTAGGAGACAGTCTTAAAAATAACACCATTTACTTTGATGGGGGGTTTCTATTTAATCCTTTGCTGGATGATGAAGCTGGCAGAGGTTTCCACAGTCTGCTACGTGACTACTTGTGAGAGATGCAGGTTTCTGCATCAGTTTCTCCTGAACTGCACTTAAATCTGAAAAAAGCAAAAGTCATTTTGCCATTAAAAGCAGCTGTTTGGCACTGAGTGAATCCCACATCCAAAATGTCTTCAGAAGACAGCTGGGCCATACTGTTAACTGAACAGTTAACGGAATTAACTGAAGTTAATTCTCCCTTGTTGTATTTGTATTTATGATAGTTTAAATCATTAAACAACATGAGATGTTAAGGAGATTCAGAAAAAACTTTTTTTTTTTTTACTGCTAACAGATGCACCAACAGCCAGACAAGTGTACTTCTTGCTCCTAACCTGCTCCAAAGGGCTAAGAACAAAAAATAAAGCTGAAGAGACTAATCAGTGGCTGAATAAAGTTGCATTCCGCCAGTGTATTTCATTTTAGCCACATCTCTCGTTATCTATCCCCAGCCCCATAATAGGATTCACTCTGCTTTCCTTGGCAGTGAGGAGCAGATGGCCTTTCTGCTAGATGAAACAAATACACATTCTGCTATTTTAACATCATTAAAATTTGAGATACTTTTCCCACCATTTAAAACAATAACGACCTTTCCGTATAGCAGTTCAATTAAAATAAATCTTCACAGGCCCTTAGCGTTCTTTCCCTGCACAGTTCCATGGCCTCTGCCCTCTTTTAATGAAGTCCTTGTTATTGCTGCTGACGTCCTCATGGCCAGCGGGTATCGGTACATCAGAGACCTTTGCTACTGCTACAGCGCAGAGATGTCACGCTAAAAACGTACAGTCTAGACTACTGAAACAGGTACTTTACTTTTCTTGTGCAGATTCTTAATAGGGGATTATTAAGATCATAATAATCACAGATTTAATGAATGTACATATATTAGAACATTAAACTATGCACTAGACCTAGAGGTGCACACACACCCCCTGTATGTGTACCCACACCCACCCGCTGTACAGATTAAACAATATCAGAAGGTCTGACTGGGTGCCAACAGCTCTGTACAAGGGCTTTATTTTAGAGAGGGTCCTCTTCCCATTGCTCCATGGGAACAGTAAATGTGCAAGTGCCGTTAAATTGGACCCTGTTAATTGCAAAGAATTATTTTCTTTCTATTCACTGGTGTTGGGCACAGTAGAGGTGCAGGAGCAGGGACGTGACCATGTGCCTGTCCGTTCCCTGCTCCCATGTGTCTCCTTTTCATTTTCCTGAGGCTGGGAGCTCACAACCCATGTCCCTGCACCCTGCCCTGGCAGATGCACAGCACCGGGGTACATGAGCCCAGCGGGGCTGGGAGATGGGGTGCTCTGGGGCCCTGGAGCAGGAGACAGCCCACGGCACAGCACGGCACCGGAGTGCTCGAGCACATGCTGGGGTGTGCCCAGATCAATGGCTTTTCTCCAGGCCGGGGATGAGACGCTCCTCCCTGTCCCCATCCCAGACACAATGGGTCAGACACATCCAGCTGAGCTGTGTGTCAAGTGTCCTATTGAGCCGTTATCTGCACAAAGTATGTCACAGCAGGAGACAGCCCAAGGCACAGCACGGCACCGGAGTGCTCGAGCACATGCTGGGGTGTGCCCAGATCAATGGCTTTTCTCCAGGCCGGGGATGAGACGCTCCTCCCTGTCCCCATCCCAGACACAATGGGTCAGACACATCCAGCTGAGCTGTGTGTCAAGTGTCCTATTGAGCCGTTATCTGCACAAAGTATGTCACTGATAATGCCTTATCTTTACAAAGAGAGCTTAAAATACATCAGAGTTCAAGTGTAAGCCACCCTCTAGCCTTGTTTTCACACAAAAGCTGTTCCCTCTGACAACCCTGCACAGCTAACTGGAACTCTCCCAAATTGGGCTGCAGCTATACTGGAAACCAGCGGTGACCAGTGCTCAGACATCACTGAGCTGGTTTCTGACCCAGAAGCCATTGAATTGAATAGAGGAACATCTGATTAGTTTTAATGGTCTTTGCAGCAGGCTGCTCCAAAATCTAAAGCAGAAGCAAAGGTCTGCGGGCCACAGCGTTCGTCCCCTCTCCCTGTGCCAGCAAAGCTATTTCATGAGACGAAGCTGCGAGGCTGTGCCTGTGCCTCTGAAAATCCCAGATTGCACAAGATGGCATGAGAAGAATGAGGGAACCCTGAGAACTGTTTGGGAAGAAAGTCAGGCAAATTAATTACAAGGAATTTGCTATGAACTTCTGGCAGAGTGTCCTCTCGCTGGAATGCAGAACGGTTCACCCAAAGTGACCCTTCCCCTCCCAGACCGGGAGCACAGCCCGGGCACCCAGTACCTGCCCCTTGTCCTGCCAGCCCTGCCCTGGGCCACCCGTCATCCAAATGAAGGGACGAGGTTTAAAAACAGCCAGCAGCCTGCAGTCTTCATCAAAAACATTGAGCATTATTGCCACCTGCCTTTTTGTCCAGTAAAACCTCTTTTTGGCATGTTTCCATGAAAAATAGCACGGCAGCAGCCTTCGTGGCCCAAATCAACCAGCTGCACTTTCACTGACAGTTAAACAGAGGCATTAAGAAGAAAATGAACATTCTTGTTCTAAGAGCAGATCTCTGTCAAGATGCCAGAGCATCAGACTGACTGAGCTGGTTCAGACCCAGCACCCACCCAACCCACCAGCAGTGCTTGCAGGAAGATGTAAGAACAAACCTGATAATTTCTCAGAATATTCTCCACGTTCCCTGTAAACTGCAGCCTGGGGACTTCCTAAGTCATGGCTGGAGCTTGATGTTTAATATCTCTTAATGGATTATAGAACTTTCAAGAATTTCTCTAAATCACTTTTAAAACTTTCTGGCATCTGCAACTTCCTGCGGCAATAAATTCCAGTTTAATTATATGCTGTGTGGAAAAGTACTTCCTCTTATTTGTTTTAAATCTGCCACCTGATAATTTTATTTGATGTTCCCAGGCTTGTGTTATGAGAAAGAGTGAATAATCATTCCACGTTCAGTCTCTTCATGCCACTCACAATTCTGTAACTCTATCCTTTTAATCTAAATCATCACTTTTTCAGGGTGAAAAGTCCTAGTTTATCTAAACTCTCCTTATTCAGAAGTCACTGCTTATGTTTGCTTTATTTGGGCTTTTCTGAGTCTAGCTGTGGGTTTTTTAGCAACAGGGGCAGCAGCCAGATGGGCACAATGTGAGCTGCATTGGTGGAGTATTTAAAGTGCAGACACATCACGCAGGTCCACAGAGGCAGGTCAGTGCCTAATCTTTTGCTCGTGTTTGCATCTGATTTTACTTTTCACAGGAAAAAAGGGACCGCTCACCATCGACGTGTTCGTAGGGGAGCCAGTGGTGCTTCGTGTTCTGGTACTCAAAGTAGGGATCCCACTGCCGGCACTGCTCCTCTCTGAAATCTTCCAGGTCCTTTGGACAGTCCTGGGTGTTGCACAGCTGGAATTCGTAGCTCGGCCCCACGCACGTGCGGCCTCCGTTGGCGGGACTGCGTGGAGGAGAGAAAGCCACGGTTGGTTTTGCCATCACTACATGAATCAAGAGTCTATCAAATCCTTTAAGCAGTAATTTAATCCCCAGTCATGTCAGTAGGCACTTGATGAAGCCAGCGATGCATTTCTGGTATGGAAAATACATATTTCCTTTAAAAACCCGCTGCTGCTATTTAGCTCTTAAAAAACAACTTCTGCAAGAAAAGCCTCAAACCACTTGACAAAGGCAAGAAAAGCCATTTTCTTGGTGTGGCCCAGGAAAGCAAAACAGGATCAAATGAGCGACTCATTCCCGTTCAGCCCTAAAGCAGCAGAAACCCAGGAACAGCCCGGCTCAGCGCTGCGCCCCAGGTGGGCGTGCATCAGACCACTGGCGGGTCTGGCAACACAGAGCTCAGGAGTCGGAGCTGGGTTTGCACCCTCTTCCAGGAAGACAGAAAACATTTTAAATAGTACGTTAGGCTTTTCCTGCATGAAAATAGATTTTACAACTCAGACTGTGCCCACAATTATAAAGGTCACTTTCATGTTGCCAATGTAATAAAGGCTGAAATTAGAACTGGTAAATTTTTTTCTTAACAGAACAATTTCCATCAGAAAATGCTGCTTCATTAAATGAGGGGTTTTTAAAAATTAATTATAAGATGATTTTTAACACTGGTCAAGTTCAGTCAATTTATCAGCACAAACTGAGAAAGTCAATGTTAAAAATATTCTGTCTGGCAAAATCACTTAATTCTGACTTCAGTTCTTGCTGTTAGGATATTGACATTATGATATTGCAAGATAGCAATAATTATACATTTCAGATCATTTGTACATACCAATCTACATTGAATATATTATACATCCAGTGTTACTGAAGTTTAGTCGTTCTACATTCCCTAGATGAGCCATATATAAGTTACTGAACTAAAGCATTATTAAAATTAACTTTGGGGAAGATTCTGATCTCTGGAGCTTTGTTCCAACTTGGAATGAAAACAGCTTGAAAAGATTTTAAGAATTTCTTGTTCAAATATCCAAAAATGTGGATTAAACAAAAATTTTAAAAGGGATCTGCATTTTTTAAAAAACATCCAGCAAATCATTGCTGTTATTTCATACTCACATATTGAAAAAAGATATATAGGGTCCTAAACTTTTACTTATGCTTTATGCAATAGCGTAACAGCACTTTCAAGATCCTTGTAACTTCATAACCAGCTCAATGGATAGATAAACTGAGAAAAAAACAGATGAGTCATGACATGCCAGGGGCCAAAAGCAGAATTTCAGACAACATACACTATGGGCCAGATTTAGCAAGCACCACACAATATCCTTTACTGCATGACTGCACTAGTCATTTAGGAAGGATTCTCACCATTCATTCTCTCCACAAAAGAAAAACGTATGGCTGTATGTATACTTACTGCGGATTGTCACACTGCCGTGTCCGGTACTTCACCCCGGTGCCACAGGTGCGAGAACAAGAGCCAAACTTACTCCAAGCTCCCCAGTGGCCGTCCTGCTTCAGGATGTCTGGTGTCAGCCAGATGCAGTGACCTTTAAAGCAATGCTAAAAGAGAAAACGAGAGGTCAAAACAACGAGAAGATTAAATCAGATCATATGAGAAGCTGTGGTACAACAGATTTCATTATAGGCACAAATTCCGGATTTTTTTTCTTCTCTCCAGTAGAAAGTGGAGAGACTCACTGTCAGACCGTGGCCATGACCCCAAACTCACTTGGGGTGAGTTTATAACTTATAAACTTAACGCATGTCAAGTACGTACATATATGCTGGCAGGATTCATGCCTACCGAGTTCATTAACCTGCTCTCAGCATTACACACCTTCATCACCTGTCTGCAACGGCAATTTCAACATAACTAACACAGATCCATTGAAGGGAAATGGCAGAGTCCCAAATCTTGGAGGTTAAAGGTAAAATTCTGCCTCTGCCATCACATGCAGCCACCTCGGGCAGCCACAGAGAGAGCTCCTGCCGCAGCTCCGTCCTTCCAGCAGCTCCTAACTCAGCAGATACATCCCTGCAATAAACGTGATCAGCAAAGTGGCATGAAATTAAAGCCAGCTCACATTTTAGATATTACTACTATTAAATAACTAACTCTTGCAGTCTCCCTGCAGATCTCATACCAAACCTGACCGTAATCCCTGGAAGCCTTCATCAGGGAACAGCCCGGGACAGCCCCACGCTGCGCAATTAATCGTGCCCTACTCGGCTTTCTCTTTTTTTTTTTTTATTTGATTTTTAATACAGTCATTCTATGGAGGTTGAAACACCCAATTTGCTGCATTTCCCAAACACATACGGTATTTACGTATTTCTCTAAGAGTCTTCATAGCTCCCGTGCTGATGCTCTCTACTGTCTCCTCTCGTTAAAGAAGCCCGTCAATGCCTTTCCACCCATTTCTTCACTCCCTAATCAAGGGTTTTTTCCTTAGGTGAAGTCAGGATGAATTCTTCTCAAGGATCACAGATTCTTGCCCTTTCTAGTACTATTTCTGCTTTCATAGAAGTTTACTGATGACATGTGGGTGCTGCAAAATATTTCCAGCCCAACAAATGACTTTGCATGAGACTGTCGCAGTTTGTCTGTGTTACCGGTTCCTGTCGGGACAGGAGCTCTGGCTCCAGCACACAGATGGCTATAACAACAAGTGCAGTCAGTCACTTACTTTCCTTAACATTTAAGTCAACAACAACATTTTACACAGCTTAACGAGCCCTGGAACGCAGGAATTTGGCAGGCGGCACAAACCCAGCATATGGCTAAATGCATGCTGCCAGCAAAAACAAAATCAGAAGATATATAGCAGGAGAGCGTTCTTAAGCATAGAGCGATTAGTGATCTGGAAGACAAATTTAAAAGTGATGGATAATCATTAATAATGCTGAATTTAAAAAGAGAATCATTAGTAAAATAGTGACAGGACAGCTTACTGATTCGTTCATCTGCTCAGTGACCGGCTCTTTATTCATGTGATTTATTTTGGTGTTGATTTGGTTGGACAAGGAATAGAAAAGAGAGTAGAAATTAGGTTTCAACTATTCGTTGTTTCTCATGACTTCAAATATTCAAAGACAAAACCAATGAAATAGATGAGTTACCACAAAGCCAATTATCCCAATCCTGCTCTGGAGCTGTAATGGGCAGATTTTTCTTAGCTGTTTGACAGCACAAGAGGTAATTCAGCAAAGCATGAAAGAAATGCAAAATGCTAATATGTCCTTTGCTTTCTTCAGTTTTGAAGCTCAGCGCCGTACCCTTCAGGGATTGTTTACTTCTGGCTTTAGAGAGGTTTGTTTGAAGGAAGAGTTTGAGTCGCTGGGCCCTGTGCAGCAATGGGAGCATTCAGAGAGACGCGGGGAAGCTGGCAAGGCATCCGCTTGTCAATGCACATTTCAGCTGGGCTTGGAAGCAGATGAGATGTGACAGCTCCTGATCTGTTCTTCCTTAAATATCCTTTTATCAGGGTTCTGCATCCTTCAGGTGTAAGTTCCACAGAAATCACTGAATCCATTTCAAGAGCCACGTAGCGTGTGTTCGTTATGCAACGATCCAAGATCCAGCGCTTGGACTCCGCGAAAGAGAGGCAGAGACATGTGATGTTGTGTTTTCCAAACTCTTTTCCCTGTTTTAGCCAGGAACGAGGGGATGTGGGTTTGCAACAACCACTAATAAACCACCTACTTGACACTGTGACTGGTCCCTGAACTGGAAGGCAAACATGGAAAAGTGTTATTGACTTTGCTGTGGAAGGGAAAAAGCGCTGGGTTTGACTGGAGGAGCTGGTCACGCGCCCATTGTTGGGGAGCTGAGGCAGAGCTATCAGGAGACAGGCATTTGTGTAAAATGAGTCATCGCCAGCTCTGCCTTTTTGTTTGTGGATTCAAAGAAAGGAGCCTACATAAAACAAAATGATTCACAACCGAGTCTTACTCTGTGCAGATCCATGCAAGAAAAGGCGTGAGGAGGTAAAATCAGCGATGGAGCGATCTCCAGTGTAATAAAGGCAGATAGAGCCGACCCTATTGCTACTACATTAACTTCATAATGAAGTGGAAAGGAGCCAATTTCCACCACTATTTCCTTCAAAAACAGGCGGTTTCATTTAAAGAGTAAAGTATATTAAAGCAAGGTTCGTGTTTTTTTTTTTTTTTAATTAGGAAAAAAAAACATTAATAAATGCAAATTGTTTTCTTAGTGGAAGACAAGATGGCTTCTTGAAGTCTCGCCTATTTTTCTGGCAAACAGGACAGTCCAAAACAAGTGCAATTTCCAGGAGAGGAAGCTTAAATTCTCTCGCAGTAAAACATTCCACTGCTGTTTTCAGCAGTTCTTTGAAACAACTGCTGTGGACGCCAAAAAAAGAGCCAGTGTGTTCCTGTGGACTTAACACATCTGCAAGTTAATTTTTCAAGAAAGGACTCGCAGATCTGCTGTGGGTGTCTCTACCTATTTTATATCAGGCAGCAACTGGCAATTCTCCTGTCTCCTTGCTTGACACCCCAGTTATCCACCAGGCCACCCCTCGCGCTGCATCTCGACTGGAGGCTCTCAGCTCTCCCCGCTCCCCCGAGGTCACATCAGGAGAGTGTCACTTCTGTATTTGTATTTTTCCCATCAGATGCAGGCTGGCCCGTTCTGCTCCATCTGTTTGAGAATAATTAGTTGTAAGGGATAAACTGAAAACTCTAACACTAAAGTGTACCCAGAGCCAGTAAAAGTTCCTACAGTGGAGAATCAAGCATTTTCACTGTTTCTGTGGTGACTAACACAGCACACACTTACCCATCTGTCTCCTCTCTCGGAGAGAAGCTGAGGTCAGCTTTCTCAGTGGGAAATTATCTGGATTGCTTTGAGTACACATCAGTGTTTTCAGAAACCTTTTTTCTCAGTCCATTTTTCCTTCTCAATAATATCTATTTATTTCTATATTTAATTATTCCCTTCCTTTCCGGACAGACTAAAAAAATCATTCCAAGTTTGACTCATTAATTTTCTCATTAGCATGGTGCAAGCAAAGAGGATACCTGCTGAGTTTGTGCTGAGTCCTTGGTACATAAACCAAGTCCAAGAGCAACATCAGCTTGGCTGGCAGGGGCAGGTACCAGGCTCTTGCTTCTCTCCAAGAAAAGAACCAAAGGAGACTCGGGTGGTGCAAACCTTTGTGTTAGTCACTGCAGCAAGCAGATGGACTCCAGCATGTGATCTCCTTGCATGAACGACTTTGGGCTTTATTTCTATCCTGTGGAGAGCAGTTAGCTACTTCAGCTGATATAAATGTCTCCCCAGAAGAGTAATAGTTTAAAAAACAGGAACAACAAAAACTGGTGATGTATTTCTGAAGGTTGCCTGGATTCAGAAGTCTGAGGCTAATGGTGGACTTGACAGAATTGTATACAAGTAAATAAATAGTCAGCTCAAAGCATGTGGGTGTTTTTAATCCACAGAACGCTATGCAGAGTTAAGCTTTGCACAGTTATGCCTCATCCACATGGTTTACTATAGCAATTTACAGAGTGTCTTTGACTTCACGTAGAGGCTCTGACCCTCCATGTGCTTAACTTTCCACACTGGAGTTATTTTATAGAAGTTAACATGACCACTCAGACACAGAAGTAATTGCAAGTTGCTCCATCATCAAAGTTTCACAAAATTGAATCTTCCCTCTTGCTATTGGAAACTCAATCTAGTCTAAAAAAATCAGGCTGGGAGCAATATAAAATATTCTGTCTCTTTTAGGATTCTATAAAAATAGTAGTTTTCTTCTCTATCAGGGAAGCTCCAAGAGAATATTTTATTTTTCTATCCCTAAACCCAGCAAATTATTAGTTTGCTGCCAATTAACGTAATGCTTGTTCACTGTCTCCATTTGCACAAGGAGACTTTTAAAAAAGTTTTTGAAATGGCAGAACCTCACTCTGTTGGCAACTTATTTCAAATAACCACATGCACAGAAGAGCTTCCATACATTTACATCTATTTATTTAAATGTACAGCTATATGCATGCATACATACACACATATAGACAGCATTAGAAAGTCTCATCTTCCTTCCATTTCTAAGGGTCAGTGGGTAGGTCCAAGACCCAGCCTGGGTGTGCAGAGACACGGCCCTTATCAGCGTGCTTGCTGAAAATGTGCTACGGATCTCGTGTCTCCCGTAGGTGTTCTTGCCCCTTGATCATCAGCTAGGAAGGAGGCAGCTGCACAGGATTCTCCTCAGCAGCATCTGCTAAGTTTGGGAAAGCGAAGAGCCCAGTTATCAGTTATCCGAACACCAGCTTAGGTGAGAACATCACACACCATACGTCGCGTTAGTCTCCCGAACATCACTTTCGTTTCTGGCACTCGGTCCCCTCAGCTGCTGCAGAGCCAGGATGTTTCTTTGACACATCAGCGGTGTTGTGATTGGTTTGAGCTTAAAATAGGTCCTGGGAATTAGCGGCATGAAATCACAAAAACTGCAAGTCTCTGAAGCGGGAAACAAATGGATCTTTCTGAATCAACATCTCTCATTGCTTATGTTTCTGGTCTTTTCTTTCCTGATGCTATTCCAAAGAAAATAGTGTATCAAGTCTGAAGGTACTTTCCTCTTCCTCACGTGCTGATGAGGTATCGTGGGAGATCCATCCTAAAGGAAGCTGCCACACTGCAACTGAGGCCCAGCTTTGGGCAATGTACACATTGTACAGTCCCCATCCGTTCAGGTAAGAGCCTCTGGTATTGTCCAAATCAATGAAGAGAGTGAACAGGGAAAAGCCAAACCAAAGGCAGGGATGAAAAGGAAAGGAAGAGATGGAAAAGGACAGATCTGATGTGCCTGTATTAAAAACACCAACAACTAATAAATGCACTGGTCAAATGCTGAGCTCAGATATACAAAGTGAGTTGTATAGCCTTCATAACTCATGCTATTTTTAAAAAAAAATGTTTAGCTCAGACTGCTAAGCCTTATCTAACAAAACGGTTTTCATTTTATATCATTTTCTCAGGTTCTCCTGGAAGGTTGCAATAAGTTTATTTATCAAAAAACTGGGACAGCTCCTCTGGGAATAAAAGTCGTAGTCCTATCATCTACCAAAACTTCAGAATGTGCATATACTCTCTTGTATCTCCACTGAACTAAAAAGCCTGGCTGTCTGCACCGTTTGCTAAAGCCTTGGATCCCAAGTTCCAGTCCAGAAAAATTTTTTTACAGCTGAGTTGCATAATATCCTGACAAACTGTTTATAATGGAAGCACTGACAGATCCTTAACTGTATGGTTACAAGTTCTTTTTTTCTTGTCCTTTCTGTTCAAATACTAATATGAATGAATGACTTAGGGAAGAGGGCAATGCAACAAAATGGAATGTAACTGTATTTTTATAGGGGTTTCATGAAAATTTTTAATGCAAAATTCAAGATGTAGAAAAGTGAATCCAAAGAAACTGTCTAAGTTCAGAAAAGATAATTTAAATATATATATTTAAACAAGAAACAAAGCTGTTATAACAGGAATAATCTAGAGAAGAGAGAGCCAGAAGGGAGTGGTTCATACAGAGCGTGACTTACTAGGGAATTAATTCAGCATTACATTATGTTTTCACAAAAAAGACATTTCAAACCATAACAGCAGCTGCTAACATGGTTCATTTATCACATAAATGATGTCACCCATTGGGTTTTACAAAACATCATGCCAAGTAGCGACACCTTCCTCTCCCCCTCAGTCCCTGCATCCAAAGCCCAGGGTAGCCAGACTTTTTCCAGTAGACTTCAAAGGACTTGGAGTTCAGATCCACTATGAGCAAAGCGTGACCTCCACGAAGGATAACCGAGACCTGGAGCAGGTCCAGCCTGGTGGCCGAGGGGTCAGAGCTGTCTGAGCCCTTGCTGCCTCACACCTTCCCTCCACAGCTCCTCATGCCTCCCCTGACTCTCATCAGCAAAAACCACCTCCGCAAATCTGCCCTTCTCTCTTCACGGTCCCTCTCTGCTGTCACATTGGCTCTCTCCAGCTGGCACTCAACTCCCACACCCATCTCTTCCCTTGAGGTAGCCACAACAGCCTCAGCTTGGCTGTCCTCTCCAGGACCTCGCTGCTCTCTGGCCAGGGAGGCCAGTCACCATCACGACAACGCCACTGATACCAACACAACCCCTCTGACCTCACACAAGTTGTGGGCAAGTGGAAATTTCACATTTTTTGGCTCTGCCACAAAGACTTGCCAAGAAGCACACAGCGATCTGCAGATACACCCATGGCTTGTATGAGAACAGGGTTTGATGGCCATGGAGCTGCCATGCAGGACACGGCAGCCCTGGTCCCTACCTCCTCCCCTTGCGCTGCTCAACTTGCACTCCTGAGCTTGCCCCACATCTCAGCAGGGTTCAAGTCCTCAAGATAGGTTCTTCTGATTTTAAGGGGAAGGTCTCCAACTGCACACAAACACGCGTGAACACACGTGAGCGTGCAGGTACGTGCAGCAGCCGCTCTCACCTTTCCTGGTGCGCACATGGTCCCGTCCAGCGGAGGCCCTTTCTTTGTTTTGCAGAAGTAGGGGTTTTCGGGGTGGCTACACCACAGCTGCTTGCAGGGATCAAACGTACGGAACTGAAACACAAGAAAAAACAGAGTGGACAACGCTTCGAGAGAGCTGCCACTGGAAACTGCAACAGAAGCTGCAGGAGGTGGGGTTTTTCCTTTCCTAGCTGTAAAATGCCAGCTGTTATCACCGATTCCTGAGGAACACCACAGTGTCTGTGGACTGAGCATATCTGAGCCTTCATGCAAACCTATCAGTGACTCTGAAGTGAGATCCCACCTGCATTCGATGGAATAAATTTGGGCAAAAATAGTTTTACATTAGTGACCAAAAGCAGACTGGGCAAGGGGGAAACCAGTTCCCCTGGATGGTAAGACACGTTCTGCCTTTTCTCACAATTTCTCAACAAGGTGCTGCTTCATTTGGCAAACAAACCAAAAAATCCTTGAGTACTCATGGGAGAAGGAAACAAGATGCTCAGACTGTAGCTCAGCTGCTGCAATCACCTTCTTAGGAGGTTGGACATTTGAGCTCAGGCCCCTGATCCAATTAATAAATCAGCATTTTACCTACAATGCAAGAGCTTGTATGGGAGAGGATGAGAACCACCCACCATACAATATACTAAAACATGATGCCTGGAGATGCTTTTGCTATTCTTAACAAAGAAGAATAGAAGGCCTCTGTCTCCCAGGCTCTGGAGAATAGCTGTAAGAAATGACCCTCTTTTGCTGGGACATTCTTCCAAGGGATCATCAGTGGGAACTGTGTCAAGACACAATACTACAGCTCACGCTTTAAAGGTTCTCATCCATTATCTAGACACGCCACTCAGCATGCATACACCTGCAGACAGGAATCAAAGCAGAAATGTTATGCATTAACAGCTGCCATACCAGCTGAAAACACCTCTTTCCATTTAATATTTTGTCCTACTTGAGGAGCTGGAGGTGGGAGGCACAGCCCTACAGCAGAAGACTCTGCTTTCTGAGGCCAGTCCACTGAGAATTGCACTGATCTTGCCTTGCCTTAAATTTAGACTTTATCTCTTTTTTTTTTTCCTGGTACAAGAGAGCCAACCATGTCATCAAGAGTCCTTGTAAGGTGCTCTACTTGCTGCCATGCTTATTTTCTCATGCTAGGCATCAAAATGCATCACACTTTCCGTAAAATCAGATCATAAAAGCATACTGCCCCATGTTAGCACTACAAGATGAATCACCAAACCCAATCCCCTTCACATCTGGGCAAGAGTTTTGTGGCAAAATAACCAGCTGCCAGCAATAGGAGGCTCAATATTGCAGCAGGTTTGTTTGCTTGAAGTCTACAGCTATTTATGAAACTACAGAACAATTATTTCTGCAACTGCAGTTTAAAAAATAAGACAGAGATACTTAAAATCACATATTTGTCAACATTGGGTTGTTATTCCTTGCTTACAGCTAAGCGGGCACAACATCTTTCCTTGCAGGCTCCACTACACTGTCCCTATTAAGGACATTTCAGAAACACTTACAACACTCCTGGATGAGAAATAGCAGAAGCCAAACTTAAGTACTCACAGCTGTGCACATCATGTAGCCCAAACCAAAATCAAAACGGCACTGCTCATTCATGGAGTAGTGAATTCCTGGCAGCTGTGGAAGGGAAGGCCAGTCATGTTCGAAGGGATCATCACGCAGACAATCGTAGGAACTGCAAGAGGCAAAAATTACAGTAACAGATGGGGCTGTGAGAATTGCACAGTGTTTGTGGTTTCAGTGCCTTTTTGTTCCAAACAAAACAGAGCCTACGAATTCTCAGATGCTGGTCGTGAAGAGCAGCTAATATTGCAATTACACTCACATTAACTTTATCATGTTGTACCCATTTTTAATGGTTTTATATATATATATATATAT